ACTGTAAAGGACAGGGACAGACGGAGGCCGACAGGAAGGCCATCCGGAGAGAAAAGAAAAAAAAAGTTCTGGACTCACCCTTTGTCGACAGCACCTAAAAAGTAATAATTGTTACTGCACATAGAGACAGAACATCATTCACACTGAATGACTACAAACTGCTGAGCTTAAAACCACTCTAGTCATTCACACTCAACAACACACTGCAGCCATTCCATTAACTACAAATACTGAACCACCATGGTCAGAAATCAGACCCAGAGCCAACATTTACCTAATAGCTCAGCAGTTCCACATCCACACTATGAAAATGGGACCAGAGTCACAACAACCTGCTCATGACCAAAACCCAGGTTCTACAGCCTATAAACTCAGAACAGGAAAAACAGAAAGGAAACAACCTAGAGAAGAGACAGGTGGCCATTTGCTGTTTGTGTAACTATGTTTCACACACTCAGACACACACACTGCTGTGCCTAGCACAACACAGCAGCGGCACGGCAGCCGCAAAGAATAAAAGAAAACGTTGTTCCCTACTATGTTGAAGATCTTCAGGATGACCAATCTAGAAAATAAACCAGAGGAGTCATGTTAGCTACTGAAGCTTCAGTGTGAGCACATTTGTCAAATAATTTATCTTATTAAGTATAAAACCTGAACTTGTTTCTTACCTTGTCTTTCATTCAGTAGTGCACTCAACAACTTCAACCTGGTCTCCGTTGGCGGAAATCTCAACGCATCTGTTCATTTCAAACATTGAGAATGTTTATATATAGTAAACTGTTTCTTTTGGAATTCTCTTTTTGAGTCACTGAAGCTTTAAAACTTAGATGGTACAACTTTATTTAATGAGCAAACAAATTATCCAAACACACCGTAGCGGATCAATAACTTATATTCGTTTCAGTAAAACAAATGAAAAACGAGCATACGTTTCCTTACACTTAGTAAAAGTAAAGCCCTTTAGCTTAATTAACACACTAAGTCAAAGGGTTAACAGTAAGGGGAAAAATTCAAAACTCACTTACAATTCTAGCTCAGTCGTCCATCTGGACCAGGTCGAGTCGCCATTTAAGAGTAACTTCTTACACCTGTGACATTTAAAGCACGTGCCAAACATTTTCAGCGCTGACATCACACGCCGCGATTTCTTTTTTTTTTATTCCATTTTGCATGTTATGGGCTGTAATCTCACAGTCGACGAAGAACGACTGCAAACAGGACATCGCTACCTCACTACCTCGACCAAAAATGCAATTGGTCAATATATAGATTTTAATTAATATATTTTCTGTCTTTAGAAACCCCCCCTGTTTTCATTGTTTTGGATCAGCCCAACCCGCAGACAAATGACAACGTAGGAAGCCCGGGTCAGGTGGTTTGCTGAATATCTATGTAAGATGGAGCGTTTCATTTGGTGTCCGTCTCCTCTGAAACTTTAAAGACTTTGACATTGTGGCAGCATTTTACCAAAATAGGAAAAAAAGTTGAATTAAAAGTTCGCAAGCAACAGTTTGCATACCACATGCAGCTTTCCGCAGATACACCCAGACCACGCTGGCCGTTAAGCCTCCTCTATTATTTAAATGCTTTACTTTTGAAGTCATTTCGTTTCTGCACTCGTGTCGATCTGGTTTGTTTAATAAAAGTTATTTTTCTTTAAAGTTGACTTGGCGAAAATCAATAATTAAATATTAATAATGAATGTCATGTTGTGATGTAATCATGTAACATCATCAGTTTGTGATGGGAAATACAACACAATACACCTTCAAAGCTGGCGATTATAGCTAACAGTACAGTGTACACTAGACAACGCACAATATTAGGTATACAATTGAACGATTTAATTAAAAAACATGATTTTCTTTTTTTATTCATCGTGAATTCAGAATATGACAAAGCAACAATTCCAGGCAAATAAAGTTTGTATATTTATATTTTTTTATCATTAAATACACAATTTGAGATTCAGTGTTTGTAATGTGAACAATAAACACAAATGAAAGAAAAAGAAAATACATGTCATATCAAGTAAAAGGCATTCATAGATTTCTCTTGGCGATTTTCAAAAGTACTGAAGATAAAACTGTGGATGGAAACTGATACGTTTGAATTAGAAGGGTTTAGTGCCAAAGAGGCAACATCTTTAACAGCTTTTTTAAAAATACAAATTAAATCCAATTATTTATGGTAGACTTAGGAAGACATTGAATTACCTTAATACTTTGAGAGCTGCACTGTAATCGAATTATGGTTGAGAACATACCAACTTCAATGCAAGTTCTTGTGGAACCCATATTCAATAAATAATTGTTTTAAGTAACAATGTACAAAAAACCTGTTTAAACTTAAATACAAGTAAATAGACTTCCAGTTGATGGTCAGTCTTCTCAAGACTGTAGACACTACTGCACATCATGATAGCAAATACAGCCCTTTCACATGTGCACCTTGAAGTTCTGACTGTGGTTAAAGTGATTTTAAGGGTTAAATGCAACACTCCCTACTCTGATCAACTGATAAACTTCCCTTTGTCAAAAAAGGTAAATGTCATTACCTAAATATATAAAATATACCAGTTTGTAGATTTGTACTTGTTTCCATTTTTAAACAAATTTAAATACAAGCATATGTGGTATGAGGTCAAACAGCTGTCCTGTTCTATAAAAAAAAAAAAAAAAAAAACATTGACTGAAGGTTTAGCACTGAAGATTTTTAGGGATTGCTTTTCCCTTATGACGTTCTAAGAGTTTCACTAATATGTGAAAGAAAATAAACAGTAAAGACCAGACTGTCTGAGGTTGGAAGTAGTAATAAAACACATTGTGAGGCACACTTGAGCTTGAGCTGTTACAAATTAGGCCTGTAACTAAAATACCCAGGGGATGTTGCAAGAAAATTTAAGTAAAATAAAAGTAGGACAGCAAAATTGTAAACAAATGTCTGTAATTAGGGTAACAGTATCTCAGTAATCTGTCTTGTATCTTTTTTTAATTAATTACAAATTCACATTGACACATTGGTTGCAGTATTTCTACGATGCATGGCAATCAGCCCACAATATGAGGCACTTGTCTGTCGATGTAGGCAGGACTGGCATGCAATAAAGTCAAATTTATTTTAATTGATAAAGAAGTTGCAATCACTGTACTGACAAGTACAGGATAGCATTGTATAGTATAATCATCCTTCCAACTCAGGGGTCATTCCATGTACCATTTATGGAAACTAGCATTTTTGTACATTCGGTTAGGCTGCATTTAATGTGTAATACACCACTCTGCAAATTCACCATAAAGTGCTAGACTTTACCTGTGCCCCTCGTGGTACAAGGAGGAGGAAGGAGTAAGGATACAGCATCAGGAAAAAAATTGCATTTGTAATGTGGATCTGTTATTTAGCAATAGAAGATATTTCTAATAAGACTTTTTAAATCCACTGTTTCTGTAATTATGTAATTGTGATTAACTGCAAAGAATCATACCAATTTAAAAGAAAATATAAGCATTTGTAAACATTACAAAATGCAGACTTGCACACACACAAAAACAATATAAAAAACAAAAAAAGTACTGTCATGGTTTCTTTGGCAGTACTGTCCTGCTTGTGTTACAGTACAGGGACATCAACACCAGATGATGGGTGACAAACCCCCTGAGGTCCTTCTTAGTTAAAAGTGACAGCTGTGATTGAGTTCAGTTCCTCCAGCCTCACCTGCTGTATTAAGGCCACAGGTGATAAATGCATTTGTGTCTTGAAGTAAAAGGTCGGGTCACTGATGGCTTAGGGATGTCAAGCAGGAGGTGGTCGCAGAGTCTTCATTACTGATTGGACAGCAGGTAAGGACAGTAGGGTTCTACCTAAACTGCCTCCAACACGGTAGCAGGCGTATCCTACCACTCCCATCATGGCTCCTTTGAAGAATCTACGCAATACCCAGCCAAAGCGTGAGGGAGGTGCAACACTGAAACAAAGACAGACATTTACAGGGATTGGCTAACAAGCCAAATCAACTAATACAATAAAAATCATTAAGTCCCTCTCTGTGTAAGGCAGGTGCGCTAACCATTGCACTCGAACCAGTCTGTTAGATTAAAAATATTAGGGAATACTGTCAAAATAAAAAAGTAACATACCTCATGATTTCATTTATATTAAGTTGCTTTTCCCAGTTTTTTTCTATGCCAGGAACATGGCCCATCCCGACTACTCCCACCACCACAGCAGGCACTTCTGCAAAAAAAAAAAAAAAAATCACACAATATTAGTCTGACAAAGTGTAACTTCTAGAATGGGGATATCAAGATACAATCTGCAAAGTAACTTCAGAAGTGATGAAGTGGATGACACTGGAATGTTAAACGGACATTTACTCCCAGACATTTGCAGCAGGACCAGACCATGTAATGCCCAGATTGCGAAAGAAGAATTTTTGAAGGTAAAGTTAGTTTTTGTGTTTCCTAAGAAAAATGCCTGGCACATTCTTAAGAGGAACTCTTAAGAATGTCTTTTGTACATCCAGAGAAGGAAAACCTTAATTTACAAGACTGCATCAATTACTCTCAGTTATTAATATTAAAACCTGTAATTTAGTGACATTCATTTTTCTTTTCTTGTTTTACAAATTTCACATTTTATTTTTATTTACCTTTTAAGAAACTGTAACCATTTTACATTCTGAAATCCCTAATTTAATAGAAAAATGAAGTTTTTACATTTTACCCAGTACTTACCACAGCAGCACAATTAGATGATAATGACTGTAATTACAATATGAGAGTGTATATCATGAACTCCACATGAAAAAAATACGTGAACGCCAAACTAATCAGTGTAGTACTCACTCTGGGCGTTAGGGGGGGCCTCCACACAACGTGTGGCCTGGCGGAGAGTGTGCGTGAGGTAGATATCTCTCTCTGCTACAATGGTCTGATGGAGAGCTGGAAACTCTCCGATCATCTCCAGCATCGTCTGCTCCAGCAGATCCTTCTGTTTACACTTCTCCACGTCCTCTTTACTGTAACATGACGTTGACAACATCACATTGTGGAATCATATCAAGGCAATGGTTAATTCTTTTTCATGTAAAACCTAAATTATGAACTTAATTATTGAACGCCACAATATTGTAGTTTGAAAGGGTTTACACCAGAATGTTCAAACTCCAATTGTAACGGATGAACACGGCAGGTACGAACCAGTTATATCAAATTATTACACAAACACACAAACTGTGAAAAGCCATGTGTTCACACCTGATCGGGTCTGACAGGAAACAAAGACCCCAGGCTAGACGTGCCTTTTGCCACAAACTGAGGGCAGCAATCGCCCGTTTGAAAGTGACTGGGATCGGTCTGTCTCCAAGATGAAATTTACAGAAAGGCACGTGACTAGCCTGTGGAACAAAAAAACAAAACAGGGTAAAACATAAAACCAAAAAAAGAATAGCTTTTTACAGTTCCTTAAATATCATTATTACCTCTTTGAAGGCCTCTCGAAACTCTCCTCCAGGAGCCATGCCCAGCTGCTCAGTGATATGAGCTGAAACTTTAAGCAGGAGAATCTGCATCAGGCCTGACATCACTCCGTTCTGTCAAACAGAGCATTCAAACAGGGACAGATTTACATTTTTGGTTGCTGAAAACCCAAATGCTGCTCACATTCTAGTGTGGTGTGTTTGGCATCATTAATTTAAAAAAAATTTGAAAACATACAAGCCATTAGTCCACACTTTTTAATAATTATATAACAATATTTCTGGAGCTAATGGAGTAGGGTCATAAAGTAGAAACATTTGTTTTTTTACTTGTACCAATATTTCAAGCCAATTTAGAACTCATTTCCTGTCTGAATTAAGATCATTTGGCAGGATTACTATTAAATCACTGCCTGTTTATGGTTGCAAAACTCTTTGATTTCTGCCCAAGCATTTAACACCAGTGAAAACATTTCCATTTGTTACTCAGCATTGGAATCTACATTAGATATATGTTTTTTAAAACAATGTTTTCCACATTTTCACATTTTTAAGTGAAATATGGCTGTTGTTGTGAATAAAAACACACACTGATCTACTCATTTAAAGGTGATTCTTTCAGTCTATGTACAGGTCACTATAATCTGATTAAAATGAACAGTTTGCCCCCTCAGACAATGGCTTAGAATGTGATAGATTTGATAAGCAATTCATTTTATTTTCAAACTCTGGTAATCACTAGGTCAATTTCTTCTCATTTGTCAATTTTTCATTGTTAATTTACACTGTTCTCACAATACAGTCAATGTTACTTTTTTTTTTTTTTTTTTTTTTTTAATTTTGGCCCTTTTTGTTGGCCTGTGGAACTTTTTCTAGGTTGATGTCTTTGGCTTCCTTGAGCAGCGTGGTCTCATCCATCTTTAACATAGACACCCTGTACTGACACAACTCCACCACCACCACATCTGGCTGAACAGCACGGATTGTCTGCGTGAGGAAAATAGCAGCAGGACTTCAAAATAAGAGACACAGCAAAAGAACATAGGAAGGGTGAAAAAAGAACAAAAACAAAGGAAAAAATAGAGGCAAAACTACTTTTTAGGAGAAAGAAAAAGAGATTGTGCTGTACATAAACAGAGGTCGAGCTAAAAATCAAATTAAAGAGAACGTGAAGCTCTTTTATTTCTTTAACAGCTGAATTTCTTATTTTTATAGCTATCTACTGCCACCTAGTGGAATATCATTTAATTGTTCCATCTGTCAAGACAAACTTAAAGGACACTATAAAGGACTTTAAATGGATCTTTGCACTGTAAAAAAAAAACCTTTGGTAAATTTGCATACACTCACCGTGGCCACGTCCTTTTTGCTGCTATCACTAAAGTGTGCAGTGCCCACTAGGTACAGCATACTGCCATCAGGCGCAGTAAGACAGGTCACAGTCTCTGGAAGCTCAGGAGCTGTTTGGCGACGCCGAGCTCGCATCTTCCAAAGCATCTCCATCGCCTCACCGTCAGCTACAAATGACATTCAGAAATGTATATAAATGTATATATATATATATATATATATATATATAT